ATTTTCTTTGTACAAAGATCGCTGCAGCTGGTGCTGCATAATTGTATAGATCTCGAGCTTTTTGGCTTGTGCACTTTGGTCACTTTTTCAATGAAAGTGAAGTAAGTACTTGGCAGGCTGGGAAGCTTTATCTCGATCTAAATTAAATACACAGTGAGCAATTTATTGTACCAAGTGCAGTCAGCAAACAATACACTCAAATTCAATCGCAGTTATGGTCTTGTCTAGCCAATGCTCCCTTGTTCCTTATGTGCGCGCCTGGGTAGTTTTTTTTAGCCGGGTGTCTGACAAATGCGGAACCCCGTCACTGTGCTTAAGAATATCCAAACCAAACAGAGTACCATGTATCCCACCTATACTTGGAAATTCTCAAGACATTTGTTGCAATGAAATGCTCACTCTCCCTGGAGAGACGCATTCTGCTTACCCGATTCCAGAGAGTATTGGCTGCAGGTTGGCAAGAACCGAGGCTTGGGTCTCCAGAGTATGCATTTGGCTACTGCTGGAGTCTAACCAGGTAAAACCGCATAGAGCATTGAGAGCACTATCTGGAAGCTGCTTGTCCAGCTAGGATCCATTAGTGCTTTGGCTTGCAGGTTTAATGGGAGTGAGTAGGAAGAGTCCATACCCCCAGTGCCTCGTCTGTCCTTGCAAATCCTGCCAATGAGCCACCTGGCTGGGACATCATCTTCAGTGTCCTGGAGAACTGCAGGCCTACCTGTTTTCGGAACTGAAATACCGAGACTGGATAGTTAGTGACTTTTGTGGGGAGGGAGGAGAGGAGCATCACAGTCTCACCCTCCTAATCCAACCTCCTCTACAGAGAGCATCACCCACATAGATCTTAAAGGACACCACAAAAATTCAATAGAGTATGTACTGTGTGCAAGGGAAAAAGAATAATAGTAAACATTAAGTATAAAATTATGTATGTTCCTTTCCGGGTTTTGTAGTGATGTCTACAATGAATGACAATAGTAACAAAGTTAGATCCAGATCTGTCCAGCTTTTCCACGGGTAATAATTCCTTCAAAACAAATTGGTCACTTCAATCCACCGACTGTTTGTGGGGACGCTGCTGTGCACATTGGCTGCAGTGTTTTGCCCACACAATATGCAATCAATTAACTTTACACTATATTCTGTGAAGGCTTTGAGACATCTCGAAGATGTGATAAGGCGCTATATCAAATGCAAGGATTATTCTTATAAACACTAAGCTGCTTCTTGAATCAGCAGATCTTAAAAGTATTCTTCTTGTGAATAATGCTATCCTGAACTATTTACAGCGTCAGCACCCTGTAACACAGCTTGTTCTAAAAAAAGTTGCTTATTTAAAAACTGTGTATAATGCGTAAAACTGTGTAAACTGTGTATTCCTGAGTATAAGTGTAAAGCTCTGACGCTGGTTGAAACATCTTGCATTAGATTTTTGGGATGTCTCTGGAGACATTGAACAAGGATCTTTTAATACATAAAAACAAAAGGAAGATCAATAATGCAATTTACAAGTGTCAGTTCAATAAGAAAATGAACACTAGGTTTGTGAATGAAAATGAGTTAGATTGAACAGTATATTGACCAAGAAGAGTTTTAGAATCATTTTTAGCACCCTCCTGATTTATATGTAACAATCATTGTCGAACTACATTTGTCAAATTGTATGAGATGCGGTACATGAATTAACATTGGTAAAGTGGACCTCACGCTAAATAGTCAAAATAATAGTTTTATTTTGTGTTTTAAATTTGTGATCTACTTTATTATGATTGTATGATTTATGTTTCTGAATTCTGACTGTTTGATGACCATGTTGTTAATCTGACTAATATTGTGCCCAATTGTGGTCTACGGGAATATAGTAATCTGTCTGTACAGTTTCTATACAGTGTTCTTTGCAACCTTTTGGGGAATACAGAACCACTTTCATATCACTTTTTGTCCATTGTTTTGTTTCTGTTTTTCTCAGAATTTGTCAGAAGGAATAGCCCAAAGACACCCATTTCTGACTTACCCCCATTACTGTTATGCAAATTGGAGAAGAAATAAGGTTGGAAGACTATTCTAGTGATGTACTACAACAAATGGCAGAGACAGAATTGTATAATAAAACAATTGTTTTACTTTGTTATTGCACTCAAATGTTTTTAAGAAATTCTCTTCTCTGACCCAGATGAGCATCAAATTAAAATAAATGGACTATCCTTCAGGGTTTGGTTTGGAAGGGGAGGTAAGAGTCACTTCATGGCTGAGCTAGCTCTAAGCTGAATATGCCTGGCAATGAAATATCAGAATGGAGTTGTGGCAATCTCAGTGTCTTTAGTCTGGTTCTGGAGTCTGGTGGGTATGCAGTTCTCCAAAGAATTATGGATGACAGACTGGCGAGTCTGGCTCATTGGCAGGACTCAGATCAGTCACTGAGGTTCTTCCCACATGGCTCCTGCTAGCCTGTAGACCACAATTTGGCACAATATTAGTCACATTAACAAGATGGTCATGAAACAGGCAGAATTCAGAAACATAAATCACACAAACATAAACCGAGCCAGGGTGGCCATAGCTGGGCAAGCAGCAGGAAGTTGCCAGAAAAAAATAAGGGATTAGTTCAGTCATTAAAAATCCATTGAAATAGTCTAGGTATGAAATGTGGCATTGCCTGTGCACTTTACACTTGTTTTGGGGTTGCTTTTGGGAAAACAGTTAATGCACTGTGTCTCAGGTTTATGATACTTTATTCAGGATATTGGGGGCTGTAATAAAAAAAGTCCTAATGCGGCTTTGAGCTAACAAAATATCCCCCATATGGGACATTTTTAAAGCTGTTTCTTGAAAAATGTAGCAATGAGTAGTTATTGATATAGTGTTCCTAATTGTGATGACGAAATAATTTCACGGTTAAGAGATTGAAAAACAAACATACTTTTTACTTGTATTTGTCACGGTATTATGTACTTCCTCTGACTAACGTTTGTTTTCTCATTATGCGCATTTTAGGCAGTGATTTACCGTTTTTGTTTGTTTTTCAACCCCTGAACCGTGTGGCTGCAAAATGATTCATCACAATTAGTAACACTTTAGCAATAACTACTTATTGCTACGTTTTTTAAGAAAATAGTTTTTGCTGTATCGATTACAGCATACTAAAAGCCAACTGTAGAATTATGCTTTTATCCACCTGAACAGACTTTAAATAAATTAAGTGCGTGCAGAGAGCTAAATTGTGTTAGTGTTTAGTGTGAAATAGCCATGAGTGAGACTGGCCTATCTAGCAGCTTTAAAATGATTCAAAGTTAAATTTTAAGTTTACAAGTTACTTTGAAATCAGCTGTAGATACGCCTGATTTATACAGTGCTGTAATTAAACAGTTCCATTCCTTTGGAACAAATCAAATTGATTTTTTTAAACCTGATTTATGCAGCACTGTTGACACTATTGATTCATCGCAAAATTGGGAGAAAGGATGTTAATTGTCTGTTTCGCCCACAAGATTCACTACTTTACCATATATCCTGTGAAGCGCTTTGAGACATCTCGATAATGTGGTAAGGTGCTATATCAAATACAAGGATTATTATTATTAGTGCAAACAGACCATAAAGCGCTGCTATTCCTTCACTGTCTTAACTCTGACCTCAGACCAACACCCTCATTCCCAAAGTGAATTTCTCTACTTCACAGCTATTTTATGGCATCTTAGAGTGAATGGGAGTGTGGAAGTTAGCGCAGAATTAATGGTTTGTGCTTTTGACTTCTGCTTTGTTCAGATTGTCCCGACGCTTCACTCAAGACTCTTACAAAGTGCAGAGTAGAGATTTACATCTGGATTTGTCTGTGCGCAATTGACTGCTGTGTTTCGCCCACCAAATACACAGTCACTACACTTTACAGTGTATCCTTCGAAGTGCTTTGAGACGTCTCAACGACGTGATAAGGCACTATATCAAATGCAAGGATTATTATTAAACAATAGTGTTGTAACCCACTGTAATACCTGCTCCTTTGTCCAAAGTCTTTAGTATTAAAAATACCAGAGAGAGACAGACTTAGATTACAATATAAAATTACATTTGTATAGTGCCTTTCACATCAGGAGGGTGTCCCAAGGCGCTGGGACGTGATGAAAAACAACATGAAAGAGAATTGTGTTTTATCTGTACTATAGCTTTCAGATTCTGTAGAGGATAGCAGGCTTGAAATGAAAGCTGTGGAAAGGGTAGGCCAAGGGTTGACCTGAATAACTGATCTGCTGGAAAAAACACTGATCCCCAAATGTAACAGAGAGTAAGAATATACCAGTGTTCCACAGAGAGGTGGTTGTTGAAAACAGATAGTTTGCAGCTTGTTCAACATTTGTACTTTGTGCATGTAGGAGCATAGTGGTTGAACTTCCACTATCACTCATCCATTGCTAAATTTAATCATTGCAGTCTGGGGAACAGGAGAGTAATTTGAAGTTGTGGGATTCTGTACTTGGTAAGTGAGAGGAGTGAAAATATTTTATATATTCAAGTGGAGTACCCCTGTCTTATGCGTGACTAGACCAGGGAATTGTTTCCCAAATTCAATATGTACAACAATAATACCTTTTTTTGTTGTCTTTTCCATCAGGTGGACTCCTGATGTTACTGATTACCAATAATTTTGATTGAAAATCTGCCATGTATTTTTGTTTATGTATGATATGCAGTACCCATAAGCTGCCAGAAGAAAAAGTATTGAAAATAATGTATAGAATTAACTGTTTTCAAGATTTTCTCCTTAAGATATCTTTGAGCGTATTTTGTTATTGTCCTTGACTACAGTGTTATTAGTCACTACATTTGCAAGGGTTGTGGGAGTTTCTCGGGTGACATCAGGCTAAGAGTAATGTACTCAAACCTTGTTGTGTTAGCAGGCTGCTCGATTGGCTTAGCACTGGGTATTTCCAGTTTATTTGCATATCACCCTATCGATAGATGCCTTTCTGTTTGCATCACTGTAGAGCACACTGCTTGTACAACCAGCGCAGGACGGACCGGACGAAGACTTTTATTGTGTTGTTTAAAAACGTCTGTTGTTCAGTGTTCTTCCTCGACTTTACATGGTGGAACTTTTTAAACGCCGATCCTCATTCTGCAACCAACTGCCGGCCTTTCAAAAAGCTTTCTTGCAAGGTAATATGTATGCAATCGCAAAGTGGCTTATGTTGCAATAGTGAGAGGAGGAGCACAGATATAGAAACTATTGGGTAATATCGGAATTTTGGAAGAAATATCGGAAATAAATCATGAAGCCCGTCTTTGCAGATCTGAAATCTCGCTCTCTGAATTCATGTTAGTGCCGTTTCCGGGAACTTTAAAGACAATTCCGTGGTGCAGTGCGATAGGCTTGTCAGCAGGTTTAAAAACAACCCAAGCGGATTAGCCCAACAAAATGCTTATACTTAGAATTTTTTTCTGAAAGTTCGTTCTCTGAAATTAAGTATTTTTAAAGAAATGTAATATTGAGCTTTTTTTCTAGACTTGAAGCCAGGATCTGAATGTAGGGTTTTATGCACAGTGCAGTATTTCTAGTGCTTTTAAATATGAGTTGTCTTATGCTTATTATTAATTCCATACAATCAGAGAAAAAAATTGAGGTCAACTTCCCACTGGAGTGATGGCTGACAGATGATTGTATTGGACCACATGGGTTGCATCATATGATTTCATCCCCGAGTGTTTTGCTTAAATATGAAAGTAAATTTCATATGGATTCTAGTTCTCAATTGCTATCTAATCTGAAGCATGAGGTTTTTATGGTCAAGGCAGTAAACTCTTAAAATATTTCCTAAGTAACTGGGATCATTGACACTTCTATGGGGAGTAGGGTATATTTGTGCAATAGTGTATTGTGTAAGTGTGTATTGATGATAGTGTGTAACCTGCGCTGCTTGTTGAGACAAGGAAACTTTATTTTGCACTTCAAACTTTCGCTTGACTTTTGAGAAAAAATAGTAGGGATAAATTTGGCAAAACATTGACTCTGGTGATTGAATAACTGGATTTAAATCTAAAATGGGTCAATTGGACATGGTCTGTGGATAGAGTAGGGGCTGATTGTATTTTTCATGTTCTGTGTTTTTTACGTTTCAAGAATGTAAGAAAAACGGTGATGGTCAGAAATAAGTTGAATATTTTTATGGTGCACCACAGTTAATATTTTTAACACACTGAAATGCTGGAAGAAAATTTTGGTGTAGATCTGTCAGCAGCATGGTCAGTAAATAGAGCAAGAGAGTACTTGGTGTTGCAAACGAACATTTTCATTGTTTATCCTTTCCAGTGTTGACTTGCTTTTGTTTATAGGTCTAAACATATGTTTGACTTGGGGTATTGGGTGGCATAGTGGGATAAAACTGTTATTTCACCTTCAGTTTGAATCCAGGTCCAAACTGTCTACAGGAATGCCTCCTCTTTGACCTCAATTTTCTTATCTGATTGTACAGAATTGATACAGAAGCATAAGATACATGCTGATAGGTGGGTGGGGGAAGAAAGCAAAGGAGGGGAGGCGCATCAGAAAACTGTTCACAGGGTGACCATATCTTGTAAACCAAATCCGAGGACACATCTATAAAAAAAAGGAACTTACCACAATTCCTGATGCTGGAAATACTGGGGAAGCTTGTTGGATTAATATATTAATGGCTGTATCTTTCTCTGATGAGTGTATCTGTTATTTTGTTGTTTTTATTTTATTGCTCAGTTTGTAGTTGAACTCAAGACAGGGAAAATTTGGCCCTTGGGACACAATATCTCATCTGGGGACAGTCTCAGAAATCGGGGACGTAGGCTAACCCTATCATAGACTGGGTCCATTGTAGGCTGTGTGGTATAGGAAGTTGAAAAATGTAAGGTGTTGTTAACCCTATTTTATCCTTTTGTTTTTTACTTTGTTAATCTTTCCCACAAAAAAGAAATGCAAAAATGATATAAAGAGGATTGAAGTTATTCCCATTATATACTAAAATCAGGGGGTTGTCTGGCTCAGGCGGCTTCAGTTGGTAGCGCTCTCGCTATTGAGTTCAAGCCCCATGTTGGGACTCTGAGTTCATAGTCTAGGGCTAACATTTCAATGCACTGTCAGGGAGTTGGTGGTGATTCCTTTCAGATCAAATTCAAACTAAGGTCCCATCTGCTTGTTCAGGTGGATGTTGAAGATCCCATGGCACTATTCAAAAGAGAAGGAAGTTTCTCCTGGTATCTTGGCCAATAATCCTCCCAGAAAAACAATTGGTTATTGATTTCATGACTGTTTGTAGGACATTGTTGTACACAAATTGGCTGCAGTGCTTGCCTGCAAACATCTTACAGAAAAACTCTTTGAAGAACTTTGAGATGTTTCAACATAATAAGATGCTATAATCAATGTAAAGTTATTATTATTTTAAAACTGGGGGTTAACCCTGTTCCCATTCCAGTTTTTTCCACTTTCTTTCAACATCCCTATGCTCTTTTTTCCTCTGGGATCTTTAACTTCCACTTGAACATGGCACCTCAGTTTAGTGTCTCATCCAAAGGATGCAGAAATGTGCGCCTGTATCCGTGATTGAGGTTGGTGCCCTTTTAATTTAGATAAAATCCTGAGAAAAATATTAATCAAAATTAATCTCTGAAGTAGCTGTATCAATATGCTGGGATGTGCTTGGTTAATATTTGAATGCACTTCAGACACTGCTTGTTTAAACACCATTGATAGCATGTGGTCCAGCATCTCTATTGTTGTCTGAGGTTTCACTCGTAATCATTCAAGTGGTTTACTGCATTTATCTTGAACAAAAAAACTAGGATCTTGAGACACTCTTTCTCTTTTTCTGTTTGATGGAAACTGAAAGCTTCAACTAAAAGCATTTTAAAAATAAAACTGCTGCCGCAAATGTGAGCTGATATTGTGAAATGGAATAGGACTCCACCTCTTGCAGCATAGCATTATAGCAATGGTTTGTTGGAATATGTGCCATTAACACTACTTGCAGCTTCAGTGTACACGTTTCACCAACTTTGCAGATCAGAAAGAGTTTTATAGGAAAAACTAAAGGAATTGGTAAACCACGACTCATTCTTCTGCAATGTAGGTGTGTGGGGCAGCTTGGCTTTGTACCGAACTGGAGCTCTGATCAGGCAGGCAAGGTTCTGGTTACGTCTTTTATACTTGGATATTCACTTTGTGGGTGTTTGTGGGATATTACTGTGTGCAAATTAGCTGTCAGGTTTATACAATACAATACAAAATGACATTTGTAAAGTGCCTTTCAACAGTCACTGAACAGTCAGGGATTAGGATCCAAGGGGTGCGAGTTGAGATCAGGTAGGGTGGAGGGCAGAGAGGGTAGGAGGGTGGCCGAAGGCATGGTCGAAGAGGAGGGTCTTGAGGCGTGCCTTGAAGGAGGCAAGGGAGGGAGTGAGGCAAAGGGAATGTGGGATGGATTTCAAGAGGGTGGGGGCAGGGAGGCTGAAGGCCTGATCCCAGGTGGTGGGGTGGCCCGGATGGGGGACATGGAGCCGGCCGGAGCCTGCTGTGCAGAGGGAGAAGACAGGTTGATAAGGGATTAGAAGTTCGGAGAGGTAGGAGGGGGCAAGGCCATGGAGAGCCTTGAAGGTGAGGATGAGAATTTTGAACTCAATCCTCTGAGGGATGGGCAGCCAGTGGAGCCGGGCGAGGGTGGGTGTGATGGGATGACGGAGCCTGGTGCTGGAGAGAACACGAGCTGCAGAGTTCTGGATTATCTGCAGCGTTTGGAGGGAAGTGTTGGGAAGGCTGACAAGCAGGGCGAGCCTGGTGGTAATGAATGCATGTATGAGGGTTTCGGCCGTCTGAGGGGTGCGATAGTGGTGGAGTCAGACAATGTTGCAGAGGTGAGGGAAGGCACAGTAGGTCATGGCATGGATGTGTGGGAGAAAGGACAGTTGAGGGTCGAACGAGATGCCTTGGTTCCCTCCCGACTGGCTTGGTGAGGTGGAGTGTGGATGCTGATGCTACCAGTGCCTGAGGTGCAGAGGTGCTGGTGTGAGCCAATCAGGAGAGCTTCAGACTTGCTGATGTTCAACTGTAGAAAGTTAGCTCTCACCAGGACTTGATGTCTGACAGGCAGTCAGCGGTCCTGCAATCGGGTGGAGGCAGAGAGATAGAATTGGGTGTCATGTGGAAATTTATCTCATGTCTGCGGATAATATCACCAAGAGGGAGCATGAACAGATTGAAGAGGAGAGGACTGAGGACAGAACCTTGAGGAACACTGAACAAGATAGTGTGGGGGCTTGAGGAGAAGCCATTTGTGGAGACAAATTGGAGCCGGTGTGAGAGATAGGATCTTAACCATTCAAGGACCATGAAGGTTAAGGTGAGAGGAGAAGCGATGGAGGAGGATAGAGTGATCCACGGTGTCAAAGGCAGCAGAGAGGTAGAGGAGGACAAGGATACAGTGGGAACCCTGGTCACAGATGGACAGAATGTCATTTGTCACCTTGACCAGGGCTCTTTCTGTGCTGGGGGCTGCACAGAAACAGTTCTGGTCAAGGTGAAGAGGTTCGTAAAGGGAGTGGCAGGAGAGGAAGGAGTGAAGCTGGGAAGCAACAACTCTTTCAAGGACCTCGGAAAGGAAAGGGAGATTGGAGATGGGACGGTTATTAGTGAGCAGGGATGGGTCCAGGGAAGGTTTTTTTCGAATAGGGCTGATGACTGTTTTAAGGGGGATGGGAACGGTGCCAGTTGACAGGGAGAGGTTGATGAGGTCTGAGAGTAAAGGGGCGAGGAGGTGAAGCTGGTAGGTAAGGAGAGGGGTAGGGATGGGGTCGAGGGAGCAGCTGATGGGCTTCATGCGCGTTATAGTAGTGATGAGAGAGGAGGGGGAGACAGGTTCAAAGATGTTGAGATAGGGATGTGTAGGGGCCGGAGTGTGAGGGAAAGATGGGGAGGGGGTGGCGGTTGGGAGGGCGATGGTGGCTGAATGGATCTCCTCACAGTTGGAGTTGGAGGAGAGGATGGGTGAAGCGTGAGAGGGTGGACGGAGTTGCCGGTTGGTAGTGGAGAAGAGAAACCTGGGGTTGTCCTTGGCCTCCAAGATTGCCTTGGAATAGAAGGATGATTTAGCGGAGTCGAGGACGAACCGGTACGTTTTTATGTGGTCCATCCA